ACGAAACAAAAAGTGGTGTGTTTGTACGTACTTGACGTCCATCCCAGTCCATAACTTTCTCCCCGGCTGTGAACCCGCCACATTTTCGTTCCTACAGAGGAGAAATGACGTAAGAAACCGTGGTTATATTCGACTCTTATTCTTGAACTCATCAGCGGCGGTGAAGATGCAATCTAGGCTGCGTCTCGCACATCCTTCGCGATCTCCTTTCTTCTCAGCAGCAGTGACGAACGCAGGCAAAGCGAAACGGGCCGGAATGGGATAAAAGACGCGATGCTTTGGGAAGACTTCGCGCGAGGCGAGGGGGAAAACAGAACGGCGCCGTTGCTCTAAGAATGTGACGTGAATGGCGGTGACGCGGTACCGAGCCTCAATCGCCCACGCATCGCCCACGCCGCCCACGCCGCCCACGCCGCCCACGACGCCCACGACGCCCGCGCCGCCTACGACGCTGACGCCTACTACAACTCCACAGTGGGAGGAGATGCCGCCTTAGCGAGCAATTACATTATATATTGAAAGAATTTTCTTTTGTGTTCCATGACAAAAGTGCCATGTTATTTAATATGCTATTTAATCAAGTAAACTTGGCACCGTATGGAGTCTCCATAAGGTGCGAGTGATTTAGATTACGTAAGGCCTTTACAAATCGGTTAGGTAATGTTCGATGTAATAATCTTTTCACCAAACAAGATGAATTGAATTGAAGAAATGGTCCTAAAAAGCAGTTTACAATGACTTGGTCAAAAGTAGATAAAACGTCAGCGCCTTCGGTTAATTTTATTACATTTACCATTCATGAGAATTTCCATATACATTTCTGGTATGAGTGTAACTATTAATGTAATATATTACATCGTCTGCTATCAAAACCAGCTCGTTTCACAGTGCTCTCCTTTACAATTTTGCTAAGTTAAGAGAATTTTTCATAACGTACAGATAAATTGCGTTTGTTTTTACCATAACAGATCCCGTTAATATCAAATCGCGTGTAGATGCGAGATTTTTGTTTCTCTTGTAAACTTTTTGCTAATGGGATTTGCTCGTCTTGATAGTACGCTTCATATAATTTATTATAATTCCATACATCAGAAAAAAAGCTTATACTAAGGGTTGTAAATGACGAATGAGTAAATGATAATGTATTTGCAGATGTGTTGAAAGGAAGGGCAAAATGGGAGAAGTCCAAAGAGCCTTGCCCCAAAGCCACTTTAAATACAGTGCAATCTCATTTGCAGTAACAGGATTTTGAGCACCGAGAGTATAACCCTACAACATGGTCCATGAGTTTCGATTCCGGAAATTAAGCCTCGAGATTGGAACCCAAATGTTTTAAGCCCCCATTTTTTGACACTAAAACCTTGCATATCCTCTTTTTCTCCGTAGCTCTTCCCGTAATATATATTAAACCGAAATAGTTTATGCAATTAGTTTATAATGCTAGCCTTATTGAATGAGTATATGTTTTGAAAACGAGCGACGTTAGGAGCGAGTTTTCTAACTTGTACGAATGCAATAAAGCAACATTATAGACAAGTTACATACGCATTTTTTGTATAACAGTATTATAAATTTATGAGAGAATCAAATTTAAGTTTGCGAAACAACTTTCTTATGACGTCTCGGGGATTTGACAGCTGTGCGACAAAACGGCGGTCGGTTATTCCGTTTACCTTTACCTCCCTACGATTCTGTCACTGCGATTGACTTAACGTGATGATAACGCAATCATTCGTGCCGTAAAATGCTAATACGTCATCATTTGTGCCGTAAAACGTCCGATTATGAACGATTTATTGCAACAGAAAAAGTCGTTTATAATGCTGGTATAGAAAAAACATTGTGTTTACCTCGTGCACGTGCACGTGTGCCTTGCACCTTTCGTCTCGCGGGGCTCCCGCGCAGCTGCACCGTGCGACGTCGCGTGTGCGCCAGTGCCACCCCCCCCCCGCTCCCTTCCTCCTCGTTCGCCCGCTCATCCCCGCGTCATGTCTCCGCAGCCCTTTCGCAGGCCCGCCAGCGCAGACGCAACGGGGTCAGCAGGCCAGTGCGCCGCGCGGCTAGGGCAGTGAAGCGGCTCGCGCAGCCCTGCCTCCTTGCCGCTTCTCTTCGACCACAATTATTGTCGGCTCGCGAATCGCAGTGTTTAGCGAGGGCGTGCCTCAAAGACACATTTGCGTGTCTGATTAGTGCTAGTCATTTATAGCATTAACATTGGTCACACAAATACGTATACAGCATATAACAATTACTAATTCAAAATTTATACATGTTGCGGGGATTTAATGTAAAATTGTGATATGAATCGTTTGTCATGTGATAGATATTTATTATTTTCCTGTATAAAATATTTGCATGATGTTTGGTTTAAAAACTCTTCGATTGAATGTTGCTGAATGATTGATAAATAGAAAATTTTGGAATACAATAGAACAATCAATTTCTATAACACTCGGGCCGTAATTCTTGTGAAAGCATTGGCATCCGCCTCTAACTGAACGGAAAAGGAACAAAAATAGTTTATTAAGCATTAAAATTTGAAGAATTTGCCGTGAATTTGTCTGTAGATTTGTTCGACCTAGCTTAGCCGCTACAATTGAGACTCAAGTCTAACGCCTTAGGAACCCCTTAGTACGTAAATACAATAGCGAATGTCACATAAAACTCCTTTCTTTTGTCCGATAAACATTCATCTTTTTTCTAAGGAATATCATGTCCCTAACGTTACACTTTTTGACTAGTTAAATAATTCAGATATGCCCCACTATAGTAGGCCCGGCGACTTTCTGCGATCAAACAGTAGTGAATGAATGCGGAATTCACTTCAGTACAAACGGTGGTAATGAGTACTACCTTCGCAATTTCATATGGCGCTGCAGAGAATTTTGCTGAAACAGTGGAAGTTCGCGTGGGCTATGAACTACGATAGTACCCAATACTGTTTTGCAGCCCTGTTTTGTTGCACTGGATATATGGCCTCGTAAACACCATTCTCACTGTCATATCGAAATAACCATTTGCGATAGCATTGTCATATAGCAACGAAGCCCATTTCTACAGGCACTTTGTAGTTGTAGGCAGCGAATTTTTACCGCCGACTATTGACTGGTGCACTGATACTCTTTATAGTCAAGTTCGTTTTAAAACTGGTATAAAATTATTTGTTTCTATATAAAAGTTTTTTTTTGTTTCTTACCTAACCTTTCCTATGGAGTTTTAAATTTCTGAGAAAAATTGGAACATCTCGATAAAATACATTTTCGGAACAAATATTTACGAATATATTGTTTATGTGGAAAGTATTTTTTCCGTCATTACATGGATATCTAAGGCTGGGGTATAAAATATCCAGCACGAAATAACTCGTCCCTTCAACATACGCGAGTTGTGAAGTGTTAATGATTGTTCGAATTAATTCGAACTAATTGTTCGGATATAGACAATTTTGACCAAGAGTCTATACTATGGAACTACTTTTAACCCTTCGTTAGGAGCTCTCAACGCTGGGAACATTTACAGATTTGGTTGAGATATCTGATGCAAGTGCGAAGAGTGCGAAAACCCATGCAGTGACATCAGTTAGAAAATATGTTCAAATTTGTTGGCAAAATCACCTTAGTACTACAAAATCTTGCTAGTGATGAATAATAACGACGGGCACTGAGAGTGTTGAAGAAAGGCTATGGAAGCGTCTCTTGACATTCATTAATACGATTTTGTGATATAATCCTTAGCAAAACAAACGGAATCCAGCAGATGCTGCAGTATCCTGAAATGTATTTCCTTTCTAATATCCTGGATTTTAAGTCCTTTTTTCTCTCTTATAGAAAGAACGAGATGGCTTTGTAAATACATCGATCGGTGAAGTTGTAAAGCTTTGCGACGTTGGTAAGTGTTTCCAAGTTGAGGAAATAGTGAAACGTCACCCCAAAGCAAATTAGTGAGGCACAAACAGCACACACTTTCTCGCATTATTTGTAACTGCTACGCTATAGTGTACTATTACGTGAACCTGCACCCACCAAAAACTTTTTTTCTCCGCCGATATTCGAAGTTAAGTCCTCTAAATAAACAGTCCAAGCCCTTTACTGGAATACCACGCAGTAGCTCGGTAGGCTCGCTTCCCCACCCTTTAAAACCAAATTAAAACTTTTAGAACAAATTTCATTGAAGGCAAGAATCTCTATCATCAATTAAAATAATTTTTCATGGAGAAAACAAAGGATTTTTTTAAAATGACAGAGTTCTAATGTTAATTGAACTCTCTGAATTATCAAAAATTGTGAGTTAAAAATGATGGGAGGGCTTTTAGATTTTTACATGTCCGCAAAAATACGGTCGAGCTACTTCGTGGTGAAGCAGTAAAACGCACGGCGAGTTAACTCGGAGGACCTGAGTGCAAGTTCCGCAGAGAAATTTTTGTTGGTGGGAAACACTTTTGCAGATTCATGTAATAGTATAATATTGTGAAGCCATGACGAAAACACATAATGCGAGAAATTGTGTCTTGTTGTAGCACCACTAGTTTATACGTCGATATTTTGTATTCAGCATATTTAGAAGAAAACGTATTATTGCGAATGTACATTAATCTTGAAGAATGATGAACAAGTTTTAGTTAGAATCATTTGTGGTAAGAAGTATGACTGAAACGGCTACATATTGCAATATCTAAGCATTAGATAAAAAAGATATAAAAAATATGAAAGTGAAAACATCTGTACCCCACGAAAGATAGTATAGTTGTTCTCTCACTGCCAGTTTCTTCATAATGGTCTCATTTGACACGAGCTTTTACAATAACTGGGAATTTGGAGCGCGCTTACGTGAGGCCTGACTCCGTCGTTTGGGAGCTACGCGGAAGAGTGCCTCGTGTTTCACAGAGTGGCACTCGTTTCAAAACAAGATATGCCTATTGTTTGGTTCTTCGACAACTGCAACTGCTTGGCGTCAGCTAAATTACCCAACCGAAGCAGGAACAAGAAACTAATTCAACAAAGATGAAGTTCTTCGGGCCCAGGCTACGAAAGGATGACGATGCACAGGATGTATCGTTAGCCACAAATAGGGTAGAGATAGATTAACTGGGCTACATTATTATCTCTTTTTTTCATGTTTTTATGAAGTAACAATTCGTTACACAATAAAATTAAGTTGTATGTAAAGAACAATAATAAAATATTACAACACACACACACTGGATGCTGCAGTTCCATCGAACGACGGAAATCTAATTTCCAAATTCATAACACTAATATATAAAAAAAACTTATCCGTCAATAATTCACTTGTGTACATTTAATAACTCGCGAGATTCATAAAATGAAATTCATAAAAAGAAGACGAAAACAGAAAATTCGTATTCCCCTCCGACGCCGCGCAGCAGTCGACAACATGACCCCCCCCCCCCCACTGGTTGTTTCACCGGAGGACAAAAGATTAAATGTAGTAAAAGCAGTAATAGAGCCACGTGCATGACATGGTGCCAGGGAGAGCACGAGACGACGGAGAGAGTTGGGCGCTCTTTGGATTCAAAATGATTTCGTATACATCGATACTGCTGCAATGTTGAATATTGAATGTCATTAAAAGGAAAATGTATATTCCTAACATTATTTTAAGATCTTTTTCTATTTTCTGGAGGTTGTGCAACCTTGCAACCTAAGCACAAGCCACCAGTGTCCAATATGATTTCTGAGGCGTTAACTGAACCACTGTCCACCCAACCACCGACTGAATTTAGTTTAGAGCCGTTATTGCCGATGTCTCTGCAGCAACTCAGGCCAGGAAGTCATAGGCATCTAGTTCCGACGGTAACTGGATTTTCGACATAAGCTCTACAACTAGATCAAATTCAGCCGCTATATGAAATTGAATTGTAGCGACCGGCTGCTCTGATCGTTAGTTTTCCGTATTTTTTTTAAGCAGTACCGCACAACATCCAAGGATGTAACAGCTTCAAATATGCAATGAAGCATTCCTAACCAACTCTAGTACAGATTAAACAAAATTCGCATAAATAACATTTTAGATGCTGTGACACAGTTCACCTCCATGAACAGTTAATCTAATTCTACCCAACAGGACGAGCCATGATTGATCCAGAATTTTTTATCCATCATTGACCCACTTTGATGCAGATGTAAACTCATGACCCATCTTTTCCGGTAGTCAGGTTTGATAGTCAAGTCGATTTTGCACAGTCAGGTTAAAAGTGTTGCACCAAATTTCGAACGGATAATTATCATATTTAGGGTAACCTACCATTTTTTCTACGAAACTTTTTCGTATGTAATTGCAAATCAATATTATCAATTGACCAATAATCATCATCAAAATGGGTATCTAAAAGAACGTGTACAGACAAGAATTATGAAAAAGTGATACAAAATGGGATATGTTACAAGTGAATGAAAGTGGTATCAAGAAAAGTATTATAAACTATCAATATTGAATGTATTTATGTAAAGTAGAATAGTAAGAAACATGTTTAACAGTGTTTAGTATAAATTCATTGGTTTAATGAGTTATCCATGTAAGGTCCCCGAGGTGGCTGCTCCAGGACCAACTTTATAATGTAAGCCTCCTTGCCCTGTGCAAGAGGACCTTGTCCTACTAGGGATAAAACGGGCTAATAATAATAACAATAATAATAATAGTAATAATAATAATAATAATAATAATAATAATTATTATTATTATTATTATTATTATTATTATTATTATAAACCGTTGCGTTTCTTTTTCTTTATCCAGAGTTTAGTTTCCGAGTAATGCAAATATAAAAATTCAGAACTGTCATTTACTTAGTCCCCAGTCACCACACACAATCTAGAAAGCCAATAATCAAAACAAATTTATGGAAGCCGACCTGGTGTTTGCTGTATTTTCAACCTCCAAACTCTCTCCAACTATCCGTCCTCGAACCTCAGACTCACTTCATTTACAGAATTGCATGCCGCGAAAGCTATTGAAACATAACGCTAGATGTCTTCCAGTAGCACCTGTGATTTCATTGCGATCCGCTCTGTTTTTAATTTTCTACTGCTTATGGGATTGCTTAAGTAATAAGCCGAAAAAAGAACAAATTTCTATTTTGCCCCAGTTCCTCAAACTATACGTTATAATCGTGTGGTCGCAGGATGGTTACAAATGCTTGCAATGGGAATCCAAATACCTGCTTAATGCAAGGTCTCATACGTGCTTGCGAAAGGCAACCCTTTTCAGGCCACATTATGAATGTAAAATTAGAACGGCAGCGTGAAGTGTGTTTTAAGGACGTGTTCTAAATCCACGGAAAGGATTAATATTTATTTTCAAAGATTCACTGTATCACTAATTCTAAGGTGTAAATAATACACGAGATTTTTGTATACATCATTGAAATTCCTTCTCGAACGATCATACAATTTCCGGATACACAACGCTTGAATTGCAAATCACTTCAACCATCACTTGTTTGGTCCCCGTGAGGTAAACACATTGATTCAAAACTTTTACTATTTCGTTATCTTTGCATTCCTCGTCGCAAATTCTCCGAACTCCCCGTAAATTAACCATTCACTTAAACTATTTCATTAACCTTTTAAATATCTTTCCTTATAATACTAGAAAATCTAGAAAATTGCATTGTCTATATATTTAATTTGTTGTGATTTAATAATTTTTAACCAAAATAAGTCGAGAAATAGGAGCACTGGCGACTTGTGTATGGAAATATTGAGGGATCACAAAATATTTGGGATATCCCTCAGAAAGGAAAATTTTCACGAAGAAAGGTGGCAAAAGTGCGCTCGGATTCGAATACAGACACTAAGGTTCGACAAGCATAGAACTTGTCATAAGAACCCAACCGATAGCGTCTGGGAGAATGTTCAATTTTTTCGATTAACGAAAATTCAAAAGCTTCTATGAAATTGGGACCAGCGCAATTATTGTATTGCTATAATCGAGCAAAGCATGTGAACCGTAACAAGAGCTGCCACTGTTGAGGACAGTTATTGTAATCTAGTGTATTCGACAAATATCTTTGGAAGACTTCCGTGGATGTCGGTGGCGACAGGTCGCCAGCCTTGATTACTGTCACTGCAATTCTGCCACGTGTTTACTGAACTGCTTTGGTGTGGAGAACCTCCCGGAAACCTTTTTACATAAAGAGCAGTTTACCTGGAAAGGATTTCCTAGATTTTGTGGCGCTCTTACGTTGCGTACAGTTCTCAACCGCATGTGGTAAATTTCCAAGAAGAGTGTGGAAAGCAGAGTTTATTTAGAAACACGAAAATATTTGCATTAGCGTCACAAACAACTGGGAAAACGATTATCTTTCTTCTTGTGGCCATAGTTTATCGTTATGTCTGCCATACATGACTGAATATGTTACGAAATTTCTGGGACAGAAGTGACTCTTTTGTCATGTCTGATTTATTCTTGACTGAGAATGTTCTCAAAACAACATGTAGGTATTTGTAGAATGTGCACAAACCCCTACAGATGAACATATCAACGATATGCGGAGGTCCTTTGATTTTATTACGAGGAAACTATTGAAATAAGTTGTTGAGGTTTCTCAACTAAGTACTGTATTCCTCGATTTATATTTCTTCCCACAACGTCACAATATGAATAATTCAGTTACAAATATTACACGTTATCCATAATCTACCACTGTAGTAATTGTATCTTTAAATAGTAATCATGCCTGCTAATCGGGAATGCAAAATGAATCTCCCTAATGAAATAAGAATACTAAAGACATCAACATCAATTAATTACCGCTTTCTAGCACCACTTCGGATTTTAGCCGGATGAAATGCTCATTAGTCAACATGAGTTGGCTTGGATTATGTGCTACCTACAGGTTGTAGCACATACTTTCTCATATTATTACCAAATTTGCAATTTTCGAAAATTCACAGAGTTCAACGAAAAAGAGACTTGCGCCATTATTTTAAGCATACCTTGTTATACCTGTGGGGAGGAAAATTAAGAAAAAAATTGGAGCCGCTTTTTGAGAAAAGAATTATTTAAAAATTACCTACATTTCACACAAAATAAAGCGAAAACTACCCATATTTTCGAAAACTTGTACATGATGCCATCTCAGGATCTGTTTTGATGCTGAGATTTCATTAAAGAAAAAAATATCTATATTGAATATTGTAGTTGCGGTAAGATACCGAAACAAATTTTCAACCTTAGCAATTTTCGAAAAAATAGGAATTTGAACAAAAATGACACCCACGCCGTTCTTTTAGACTTTTTTTTAGGACAAAGGACAAAGGTTAATAGAAAAAATTAGAGCTGTTTCAAAAAAAACTGAAAAGGTTGAAGTTTCATGAAAAGTACCCCGGAAAATCAAAATATTCGTCTCAAAGTCAGAGGACCTCGATTTCGTTCAAATCGATCGGGGAATTTCGATTTTGGAGAGAATCATCTGAACATTTTCGGCGCTATCGTTGATTACAGACAGACTTTTGGCGTGAATCGAGTTTCCGGTATCAAGAACCCACAAAACTGATTCCCTCTACTTCAGTGTTAGAGTAAGTAACTTACTGCATGTAGGAACAAGATTTACCTAATGTTTCGTTACCAAGGCCGACAATTAAGATTTTTTCTACCGAAAAATCACTGATTTCCGCCGCGTGTTTACAATACTTCCTCTTGACTACTTAAGGGGACGAAGTAAAAACAATAGAGAATAAAATGTAGGCTACTCTCTTTTCTGCTTAATATTAAAAAGTGAATATTTTGAATGTGTTTAAATGAAAGTTTTTCAGTGAGATTTTGTGTTTGTAATTGTACGGTTGGAACAATGTCTAAGCATATTTATTTAATTATATTTATTATTTTGTAATAAATAAATAAATAAATAAATAAATAAATAAATAAATAAATAAATAAATAAATAAATAAATAAATAAATAAATAAATAAATAAATAAATAAATAAATAAATAAATAAATAAATAAATAAATAAATAAATAAACTTTTTACTAACGTCCATTCAAATGTATTGCTGACAGTATAATTAAGAATAACACAAAATTTTGTGGATCTTGCAGCTTCAACCCAGACTTTCAAGAACAAAAAGTTTAGGATAATTAACCAACTGTCATGTGACTGAGAAGCAATTTTGGGCACTTTCGCTGTGATTTAGATTGACCTTATTTTTCAGGATTGGTAAAACCTAATAAACAAATTTTCTTGTTTTCAGAGGCAACATCAGCAGCATTTAAAAGCCCTGGAAAGTGTCCAAAATTGCAGAGAGAATGTTGTCGAAGAACCCCAATCCATCCCAGAGCCTCACCTTCCGAAGCTGACTCCTCTTGAAAGGTGGGGTCCGAAAGAGGAATTCATTCATCGAAGAGTAAAACGATTCTACGGCCACGAATGCATGACAATGAAGTTTGTAGATAAAACTGCATTGAATCATTTAATGTGCTTTACGTGCAGAAATATCAGAATCGATCACAAAAATCAATTTGAACAAAATTTAAAATAGTGTGAAATATGGAAATGTGTCTTATTTTAACTTAACTGATTGTGACTCCGTTATATTAATCGGTAATCACAACTAGTTGTTTGAAATTATCATGTTCCTTAGGTGTTACAAACGTCGCCGTGTTTTTCCGTTGAAAATTGAATGTAGTCTTCTAAAGAAATTTGTGTGCCTCTTTTTCGATTATATTCCTATCTCGGTCGATATCCTGCCTAACCGTGCCTGGCGTAAAACGTTTTACTGGTGATAATTTACAAGTGATTTTTTCGCAAGTATGAATGTTATGTTTATTCAAGAAAATTCTCCTTTCTTTACACGGAGCGCTCAAATAATACTAGAACTAGTGGGAAAGTATAAAAATTTAACAGTGAAAACCGGCAGCAAAGATAAAATACCGCGTTAAAACAAAGGCAAAGGACTATTGATCTGCCTGATATATACGTAAAGTTTTGAGATTCAGCATTACTTCTATATAACTTCAATTTCTTGTAGTATATTACACGAAGGTAAATTTACTGTCTTATATTTTCTTATCTATGTTAAAACGTATTTACAATTTCTTTTAATTATTTTCAACTACGGTCCTTAAATTTAAACCTTTCCCTAATTCTGTATTTAAAATGTATTCCTTTTCTTGCGTTTATTTATTCATTATTTCATTCCCCATTATTTGAAGTGTTCGACAGTCATTAAACCATTTGTGTAATTAATTATCCTTATTAACACCTTTATTACTCACGTGAAAAATCCCTATTCTTATCTATTGCATTTCTTCCATTTTATTACCTAGCAATCTCTGATTCACTTCCTTTGTCCCGTAATTCTCACCCCTTCTCCTTACAACAAATCATACTTTTCCTTCCCCGCAAAGTTGCTTCTCCTCTACCTCCTAACTACTTCTAATCCCTTATCACTTCCTTCCATTTCTTTTCTATTTTATCATCTACCTCTCATCTTACTACCTTATCGAGTAAAATGTATTTTACCCTTTTCTCTATACTGTTTCCCATCCTCTCAAATCACTCACTCCGTGTGGCAATCCACAACATGCTCCCAAGTCTATTCAAATGCTTCCTAAACCCTACACATCTTTTTCAGTCTTTCTGACCAGCAGGGGAGTCTTTCTGAGCAGCCGGGGCTGGTTTAGTCCTACATCGACCCCATAGCTTTAGCCTTTCATAAACTCTAGCTTTGTGGCACGATTCGTTAACGACCTAACGAACTTCTCGCAGAAGCCTCTTTGGTCAATGGAACCGTAGTCTCAACTGTGTTTACTGTTTGAAGAGCAATGTTTTCGAAGTTCATTGATTGTGATCTATTGTACTGGAAAAATATATTTTGCTTCCATTTCCTTTTCGGCTGATCCCTTCAACGAAGCTCTTGATTTTCGTTTATCAGTTTAATAAAAATTCCCGTACGGGTCTGGTGGGCACTTGGGTTGGTACAGTATCTCCACGAAATAAAACTAATTTTCTGATATTTTATTCACACTTAGGGCAAGAGCGTCAGTGTTGGTCACAATTAACATTTTCGTAATTCTCTCATCCATTATTGGGCTACTTAATTCGTTATGTGAAACTCAATCGGCCAGTAACATACCTCTTTCATCATTATTCCCTTACCTGAAGAAATTCCACGCTTTAATTTGTTCTTCTGTTTAATACTGTATTTTATTTTCAACCACCTTTGCTTTCTTTTTAAACAAAGTTATGGACACTTATAAATTTCAAAATTTTTGGTAGTGATCACACTCTCGACTAAATAATGACAGTCGGTATTCTACCCCTTGAATTTTCCTGACGCCCTAAACGAACCTGTTCATGTCACGTTTTTGCTGTGCCTATAACAATAACATTTTTCCGCTTATTCTTTAAATAAAACATAAGGGGAAAATAATTTATCTTTGTTCTAATAATCATCCCCACTGGATGACATAGGCTCCATGTTCCACAAGTTTGAAGTAAGAGGACCAAACTGTGATAAATATCTTTACATTTATTTGTGTAAATAAAACATTGATTTATTACTCCACATTCTCACGGTTAGAGGGTTCCAACCTACCCCGAACCCTGGGAACGTGGGATTGGTTGGCATTGGCTTGATGATGTTTGACTCTAAAAGTTCGACAGTCACGAATCACGATTCACGAATTTAAAAAAAGTGAAGGTAGCCTAATAAATTTAGTTTTCATTGATTCAATCAAACTTGTCAAAACTAAACCGAAGTAGCGTAAAAAAAATAAAAACTTCCAACTGTTGCCATCAGCGCCGGTCTTCCATACATCCTCCATCGGACTTTATTTCCTGACCTACATCTTGCTATCGTGTTCCTAGTATTGTCTGTCCTTAAACCCATCAGGCCTTCTCAACAATCTATTTCCTTGTGTATTATATTGTACCTCGACAACCTGTCTTCTCTTCCTTTCATCTATTTAATCACATTTATTACTCCTCTTAATGCTACTGTACTAACCGAACCATATCCTTTCTCTATCTCTCTCCTCTCCCCATCTCTCCCTCTCTCTCCTCTCCCCATCTCTCCCTCTTTCTCCTCTCTCCCACTCATTTTCTCTCTAGGTGTCTCTTTCTGTTTCCCACGTTGATCTCTTTCTCCTACCACCTTTCTTAATTTCCTTCTAATATCAAGTTGTAATCCCTCGACCTCCATTTTCCAACACCTCATATTTTATAGTCCTGTTTTCTGCGTTTTCTCTCAATTTTCCACTGTCCAATTCCTTCCTCATTATGTATTCAGATGTGTTCCAATTTAATTATAGGTACCTCCTTATGAACTTCTCATGGCATCCTTCCATCTTCTTTCTCATCAAATGACACGAAGGAAAATTTATTTTCCCACTTAAAAATACATGCAAAGTGAGTTACAGATGTTGTCTCTCATGGAAAATAGAGATGCTCACAAAAATTTATATTCCTCTGACAAAGCACCAACAGTAAATAGTATTATATGTAGGATATGGCTTATGCTGATTCTTTTGGATTATCTTTCTCGACGTCCTGAAAATGACCTCTAGCATTGCATAGGCATTCTGTACGAACCCAAATACTATCTTAAATGCATCTAAAAGCGGCAACTTCCTTAAAAGTTGGTTAGTGTTTGCTCCAATTGCACACACCAAGACGCTGAACAAAGGCAAATGTACTACTGGGCTTAATATAACCAACATGAATTTAATCATACATTTACTAGACAGTAAAAAGCTGAACGATATACAATATTAATGAAGCAAAATAGGTTTTCACGACTGGTTTCACGGCTATTCAAATTACCTTCCGGGCTGGACGGCCGTGGTGTATAGGAAATTCTGTTCCCAGACGGTTCGTCTGCTTCTGCGACAGACATCATCAATGGCGAATAGGTCTTACACGAACTGTCCTTTCAGAGATCTACAGTAGATACACAATATTTACAGTTACAGAGATACACTAATATACTCATATAATATCGGACGAAAGAAATACATTTACAAACCCTTGATGCAGGAACCTAATTGTCCGTAATTGAACAGAAGACAACCAACAAGCGCACTTTTTGTCATTTTACATTTAATTAATTTTAACCGAATGTTCTTGCAAAGCAGCACGAATAATGCGCAGTGGCACGTGTACGAATCATTATCTTTTATTCAAATCAATAAGGAAGACTGATACAGAAAAAGCTTAAAACTTCATAAAAAAGCCATATAATTTAAATGCTGTAATTATGTTATACCCATGGAATTAAAATAAATCATTGAAAGAATATAATTGACCCTTTCCATACCACTCTCATTCCACACTACCTGTTTATATATTGCATAACAATATGTGTTCGTTTTATAATAAATCGTGTTACCCAATTGTATAAAATGTATTCATTGTGTTTCATTTCCTAGGGGAAATTTTTTTCGTGCAATGGAAAAATTATCGTTAAACGAGTACGTAAAAACGAGGGTTTACTGTATTGATTCTAATGCCTAGAAACTAACTTAAGCTTCCCTCTATTGAGAAATTCATTGTCGTGACACATGTCATGGGCTCCATGTCACTTATGTCTCCCATCGACATTTGAAGCATTTAAATAAAGATATATGTATGTTATCAATCTTTGATGACAACACATGACAGGGCAGAAAAACACATTAAATGTGTTGTTAGAAAGCCGTAGAGGGGACTCAAAGGAGGTACATTTATCCAGGAGAGTTACGTATCTTCTGAAAATTGACGAAATCATTTCAGTCAAAATTTTGACACTGTTAAATTTTTCATATTTAATTTATGTATTAAACCTTCTTGTTGGGGATAATATACAGTAAACCGTCGTTAGCACGTAATTCCTTAATATGAACTTCGCAGTAACGAACAAAGGCTGTAGCAGGATATGGAGGGTAAAAATGCCTCCAAGCTTAATTAAATTTTGAATTGGTTTAGTGTTATTTTGAAAGTCATTTTCCCAAATATCAGAACGGAAGCCTGATTATTTTGTGAAATATAAAAAAAGAGAATTTTCGGTTTTTGATTTTTTCATAGCATTACCTGAAATTCGTGTTAACGACGGTTATATGCATTGCATTTCTTAATGACACAGAGGCATTACAACATCATATCGTAAATGATACTCAGAAAGAGGAGTGAAGTTATTTGCAAAACTTCAATAGACACAACGATGAACAGAAATACTAACTCGTTTTGAGATGAGTGGAAGATTTTCGGAAGCATTTTCCAGATAATGAAAAAGAGAAACTGAAAAGAAAATATCAGTAAAATTTGTACTGAGTTATGTTATGTACAGTTCATTTTGTTTATACAGCTGTAATTCAAGCTATTTATTGATTTCTGCTTCTCTAAGACAATAGAACAAAAAATAAATAATAATCGTAGTGTAAGTATTCGTTTAAATTTCGTAAGTATTCGTTTCGATATGCACTGAGTGGCACGGGGTAAGTGAATGAGAATTGATTACGGGTGCGTCAACAACTTAGGTCATAATTGTCGTAAGTGTAGTGAATGTTATATCCTGAAATTTGGTGATGTTCCTATCTAAATAGAAAGGAAGATCTGACGTCAATCCACACGTGTCAGCTTGCTGAGTCTCCCTTCAGGCATCTCCCCTTCGAAGAACCGCCCCAATTGGGCCAAGAATTTTAGTTCTCCTCTGGACCTAGGTCCGATTTTTAGAGTAGTGCTCCGGCATTCGCCTAGTATTCACAGAAAAAAAACACTCGAATTCTTCTCCAGACAGCGACTTAATTCGACACAACACTTTAGCTAGTGTCGAAAATTCGTCAGTCTGCTCTCGAACCTTGGGATTTCCCGATCAAAGATGCTGCAGTGGTAATGGAGTTGTCACCGATCTATCGAAACCGGTACTTGCCGGTACCGGTTAATGTAATTTTGTTATAAATTTGGTACACTATAATGTAATCCTTATTTTGTCAGTACTTATATCTCGTTGTTTTCGGACATCCTCTCTGAGTTATAATCCCACACACAACCACTTGCATGCATCTCCGGAACTGTTCCGCCGATATGGCTCATAACCCCGTGTTATACTAAGTACTTAATTTGACCGTAACCAGTGTCGCTCATGAGCCCTTCTGATCAGGTGTGTCAAGCTCGCACGACCTCTGTAGCACTATCACATAAAACCGAATGGTGTAATTAGTATACATTTATTTCTAATTTATTACCCCCATTTTAATTTCTTTTACAGTCGCCGTTTATGAAATAAATCTGTTTCTGTTGGCTTGACTGTCAAGCTTAAATAGAAGTAGGAACATTTACAAAAAACTTTAATTATTAAATGTTTGTATTGCTTGATGTTTACGCCAAATCAATAAAACTAAAGAAACTTGTTATTGTTGAACGGACATATCCAGTGATTAATCTGTTGATTAATTTTATGAAATAAAAAATAATCTGAAGCCGTTGTCAATAAAATGTTTAAAGTTACATATTTCATATAACATTATAACGTAGCCCAAATAAAACTTGTTCCTGTAAGACCTTCTGTCTTACCGTTTTGAAGACCGAATGTTCACGGTTACACGTGTGGTATTGCCGACAATGCTGAAAGATGCTGCGTAGTTTGGTGTACGGGCAATGTTAAGATATGCTGCGCACGGATAATTTTTTCTTGAATCCGAATGCATGCAAAACAATTTATCTAAATATGATAATACTGACTGGATGATAGTAGGCAAATATTTATGACAGAAATTAACTTTATGAGTGAGATGTTAATTTATTAAAACTGCATTGTCAACTAAGTCGGTTTTACTTGTATTTTATTTCTGAAGAAATTTCAGAGAAAAAATGTTCATTAAACTAATATCCTTTCGTACCGTAAGAAAAGAAATACTTCACAATAAAGATACTGAAGGTCCACCAGCAAGAGCTGCATATCTTTAGGAAATGAACTTGTAATAGTAATCTGCTAATACCAATACGAAATTTATATTTTAAACAATGAGGTTGAATAATACAGTTCCCACTAAAGAAATTATCACAATAGAAAACATTAACCATAATTGTATAAAAAAATTAGCACTTAATTGCATATTTTATTTTCCGGCACCGGGTTCCGACTACGGGCCTACATGTACTATTTTCCGATTGCGGATTATTCCCAACAAGGCGTCTCCCTCCAGCGGGGCACCGCCCCAGCTCCCGGCTCCCGACAAGCTCTCGGCTCCTGACGTGAGTGGTAGTGTAGTTCATGTCACTTGCTATTGAAACAAAAGAAGTCATCAAAGAATATTCTACGCTTGCTCTCATCGACTGTTTGGAGGCATTGTCAACTCTGCAAAACGGACTTGTCGAAGTCTTATTAGAATAAATGTAGGAATAAGCAGAATTTTTCCTGGAACGTGCTTTTTCGATCGCCAATTAACCTAACACGACTTAATGGAAAGGCTCGTTCAAAGAAAAAAATGAATGATTTAACGCCATATTGGGATTTCCACGATCCAACATGACAGGCACTGTCGAGGCAAAAAGTACCCTGCATCTGTGAGTTGGCCGAGGGCAGATGTCGGCTGCGCCGCGCAAGTTCCCAGAGCACACGGCATTCCGAGGCCGTGCGATGGCGGGCCGAGTGGCGGGCCGAGTGGCGGGAAGGAGGTGGGACGCTGCTGGTCCCGCGAGGAGCGGCCGGCCGTCGAGGGGATCGAAACAGGTCCCGCGTGCCCCGCGGCCAGGGGCGGCCCCACCAAGCGTCTCTGCGCGCCGCCTCTATCGCCGCCTCCTATGCCTCCTCCCCCTTCTCCGCAGCCGCAGTTGCTGTCGCCGTATAAATAGCCGGTTTCAGTCTGATGCGCTCGAAGAAGCCGTATACTACAAAGGTGAATGATCGCCGCGCTATCTCGAAATAGGCGCGCGGGCAGGAGGCAGGCGCGGTGGAAGAAGGTGGAGGGGAGGGCGAAGAAGCGGCAAGCAGGCGAATGCGCTCCGTCTTGCTCCAGACCAAAACAAAACAAAACGGGCGGCAAAGAAGGCGGCGCCGCTGTCTCCCCGCGAACGGGGGCCGCCCGCCGTATCGAATGTCGGCGGCGGCGGGCGCGTCGCACCCGCCAAGACACGAGGGAAGTGACAGGTGGGGCAGACGTGTGAGAGGGAACCGACGGAAGGGTCGCTTCGGTCGCCGCTTCCTGGGAGTCCCGCGTAGGGGCGACGCACGCCTCGCCCACACACTCCGGCGGCGTCTCGATCGGAGGGGCTGCGACTCGCAGCCCGCGCGGCGCGGCGCGGGCTCCGTCGTGTCGCGCCGCCTCACGGACGCTTCGTGGCGTTTTCCCCGTCGCTCCTGCCTCCTGAGTTCCCGGCGTTCGCAAGCTGCCTCGCTCGCTCCGCGCTTCCGCGCTTTCTATGCCCTCCCCCCCCCACCTCCACCACCAGCCACGCGCGCTGTCTTTCCCTCGGTCTCAAGGCCGAGTGCAGGATCTGAGGACGCGGCCCCGGGTTGGCCCCGCGCGTTCGCGTCGCGCGCACCGCACCGCCGGCTGCCTTTGCGCTCCCCTGCCCCGCCCACCGGCGGTGCCTCGCTGTTGAGGCGTGGAGGTGGAGGAGGTGGGTTCGCGTGCGTGACTTTTTGCTCGCCGATGGTTTTGTTGCGATTATTCAAGCGTGCAACGTCCGAGAAGCTGGCGCAGCGGCCTTTGTGGATGCGCGCTGCGCATTCCGATGGTCGCGGGAGGCGCCACTCGCCGCGCTGCGCTGCGCGGTCGGTGCACTGTGCGGTTGGTGGCCGCCGCCCCTTGCACCTCGCTCTGCCTCGCTCCTTCCTGCCTGGGCAGGTTGCCTTTGTAGCTGCCGTTGCTTGTCTTCATCTTCAAATCTTGCATTTTGATCGGTCTTCCTACTGACAAATATGTGGTTACCTGCCCTCTTCTCTAACAACAACAATAATATTTATTATTATTATTATTATTATTATTATTATTATCATAAATTATCATACTTCTGAGAAAGGGTGAAGCCGAAGTCCGAAGTCCCTGATGATACGTCCTGGTAATATCCGTTAGCTTGTGGTTCGTGACATATGTACCTTGGCATTCAGCAAAATAGATTACATAACTTGTTACGTATGGCGTCAGTATTTAACAAAAAATGTAAATAATGAAACATCATGTTGGACGTTCAGTTACATTCAAGAAGCTTAATGAATATTATTAGCACCTATGCTATGTTGACATATTCCTTCCGTATTTTCAATAAGCAGACTTATGCCTCAATAAATAGACACTGATATTACGTTCACTCAAAACATTCACCATATTCAGAGTAAATTCCAAGATCACCCTAGGAAAATGTTCCTATTTTTTAAACAATCCAACAGTTGATAAAGATACCTCAATCCAATAGGTGAAAATTGGGATATGTGTTTTCTGAAACACAAAGCTTCGTAATAGAAATTCACGATAGAATTGCTATTACGAAAACTCGTATTTATGAGAAACATTCGGAGGAGCAAATGAAAGATGAGTTGAGCAATACGAAATCTGTCTACAGATGTCCGGAAGTTCTCTTTACAAAAATATACCCCAGATTCTAGATTCGATTTCATGACGAATCACAGATCCGTTAAAAATATTTTCGAGAAAGTTTGAGTTTAAATGTTACTTCCAGGCGGAAATTCAAACCTGGCGCCGCCTCACACGTCTACAATGGGTCTTAGCTTTGCGTCGTTTCTCCGCGTTTCGATGAAACTGTCGAGCAAGAAAAAGCATCGCTTTCCAAAAACTAAGGTACTTTATTAGTATCAAGTGTTTGAAATGAACTACTGATATTTCAATCTATTAATTCTATTTAAAATTAAATCTATTGTAAATAATTTATAACAAAAAATGCATTTTAAGTGGACTTACAATTACTGTAACCATGTTATGCAGCGATGTATAACAATGAACACTGTACATGAACAAAGCCTTGTAGAAATTTACAAAAGAGAGAACAGATACATTTAAGCAGAAATAAATATTCAAATGTAAAGTAATATGCTAATTATTATTAATATGCTAATAACGTAACAATTGGAGAAGA